TAAGCCATGCATGGCACAGTCCCCTTTAGTTATCAAATTTAAGATGTATAGTTTTGTTTATAGTAATATAGCTGGAATATAACTGTCAGGAATATGATTATGAAGTATAATGAATATATAAAATTTGAACATAATCAGTCAAAGCACGTCAGAGATATGGCTTTAGAAGCCCATTCATTAAAACAAAATGGCCGCCAGTTAGGGATTTTTAATCCAATCTGAAAAATAAAATGACATGCATCAAGAACCAATGTCTAATGTATGTACCGTACCAAGTTTGAACGAAAATCCATCAATAAAAGCTTGATATTTGATGATTTTTAGCACAAAATGGCCACCATTCGGCCATTTTAAATAGGATCTTTAAACCAATATATCTGAATATCTATGACATGATGTATAATGAATATCTAAAATTTGAACATAATCAGTCAAAGCAAGTCAGATATAGCACTAGAATCACATCAATTAAAACAAAATGGCCACCAGACCATGAAACAAATTGATGTGCACATGTATAATGTAATGTATGATTGTGATTGGTCCAGGCATTTCTAAGATACAGGCTCGAACGAACAGAGGTAAAAACACAAGTCCCTGTTTCCGGACCTCGTCCAAACGAGAACTAACAAAATGCCCACCAGTTGAGCATTTTGAACATGCATCAATAATGTCCCATTTAAATTGGATCACAAAACCAATGCTAGTGCACATTTATCCCAATATGTAAAGTTTGAACACTATCGGTCCAGACAGCCATACAGGTATGAATGCAGAGGTGAATTTTTTTTGCTTCAACTAAGAAGTAAAAATGGTCCAGGCATGTTTGACAAACGACAGAATAATTTTTAGAATGTATTTATATGGTTAACATCCCTTGCTTAATGCAGTTATGAGCTAGTCCACGGTGTCCATCTTGAGGATTTAGCACGCAATGCATTTATTCTTTATACGCCACAAAAACAACGAATGAGGTAGATTTTTCAGCGGGTGGCTTAATGTTACCCCAACAGATTGTTTGAATGTGAAAGTTTGTTATTTGCTCCCTGATTTGTAGAAAATTGTTTCTCAACTTGTCTATTTAGTTTCAAGCGGTGTTCAAGACTGTTACCCTCGTATAGTAAATATCGGTGGAGTAATCACACACATTTATCCTCTTATCTCTTGTACGCCAGCTGACTGTGGCCATTTAAGGGGCTAAAAAATCATCCAGGGGAATCCAGACATGTACCACACTGCGTAAAAACATTCTATGTCCCCCTAATGCAATATGGACTAACCCAGAGTCGACGCGATCACAAGCGAGATTCAAAAGCCAACCATTTAGTCAAAACCGAAGCAGTTAGCCAATTCGCTAGCGAGTTTGCAAATTGGCTGCCCCAATACTTCTGAGACTTGCTGTAAAA